AAAGGAAAAAATACGTGTTCAGCCTTACGTTTTATTTTCTTTTTTAAATGTCTCTGAGGGGTGCCAAAGCCACCCAGGGACATTTAAAGGGGTTGAGGGCTCTGCCTTAGGCTCCGGTCGTGGTCCTAGGGTCCTGGGATCGAGCCCTGCATTGGGCTCTCTGCTCAGCAGGGAGCCTGCCTCCCCCTTTCTTTCTGCCTGCCTCTCTGCCTACTTGTGGACTGTGTCTGTCAAATAAATAGGTAAAATCTTTTAAAAAAAGAAAAAAAATAAATGTCTCTGAAAAAACTCTACTTCTTCAGATTAAGAAAACCTTGGGGGAAAAAATGTCCATGACAAAACCCATGTTATGATCTCACATGTGCGAGATAAATGATAAGATACCCATTATAAAAATGACCCCCCAAAAAAGCATTATTGTTTTTGCTGTTTGAAAGTAATACAAGTTCATGGGGCAGGGGTGGGGGTGGCAGAGATCAAAACAGTATAAGAAAAAAACAAAATTCATCTTTTATTCCATCAGCCAAAGATAACTGCTGTTCACATTTTCGTTTATATTTTCCTAGACTTTTCCTACGTGTATACTAGGATATACAACAAAGGCTTGCCTTGGGAGTGGGGAGTTTGGGCCAATGAAGAAAGAGTGGGATTTTTTTTTTTTTTTTTTTTGTAGGTGGTTCAGTTGTTTTGGAGACAAATTGGTATAAAAGAAGGAATAAGCCTGCTCCTTGGGCTATGTTGGGTTTTATGCACCATTCATTCAGTGAATATGAAGCCCTTACAATGTGCCATGTGCTGGGGTAGGGGTTGTTCATTCTGTGGGTCTGGAGCCTTCCCCCACATGTGGTACTGGTGGTATTACCAAAGAAGTGGGAGGGAGAGGGCCTGAGATAGATGCTGTTTTTGTCCTCTATAAATGACTTCATGGAGAGCTAAGGCACCTGGCTGACAGATATCTTGGTGGACCAGAGACAGCAGGAAGGACCAGAGGAAGCAGCTTTTACCTGCTGAGTACAAAGGCAGAAGCAGATTGGAATTAGCCGAATTGTTCACTTGTTTAGGCTGCGTGACCTCATCAGCTCAGAACTAGGTTATTTGATTAGTTAATAAAGAATATAACTACTATATATTAAGTATCAGTCTGACGTATGCCAAATAAGTACCATGTGTATATTGTTTCATTTGCTTTTCACCAGAACTCCATAAATAGCATTTATTGAGCACTTACTGTGCGACGGCCACTATTAAAAGATTTTACATGTAGTCAGTATTAAAAGATTTTACATGTGAGATCAGGACAAACCTGAGAATTGTCCTGCCATGATCCCCCATTTACAGATGAGGAAATGGAGTTTCAGAGGGATTGCTCAAGGTCACAGGACTGGAAGGGGCAGACCAATGATTCCAAAGCGTCTTAACATAGTTTTTGCCCACAGTAGTTTGACTTATTTATGTAATGAAAAATAGCATTTCTGACTAATAAAGAAAACCCCCAATCTCTCACCAAAATCAATCCTGAAAGTTTGTTGAAGAAACTCTTTTAGATACCTTCTAAAAGCTTTGTATTTTAAATTAATATTAATCTTATTGGAGCTGATTTCCTTGGGGAAAAGATGTCTTTCTTCAATTAATATATGTCATTCTTCCCTTTTTTTTTTTTTTTAAGATTTAGTTATTCCAGGGGGCATGGGACAGAGGGAGAGTCTTAAACAAACTCCTTGCTGAGCATAGAGCCCCAGGAGGGGCTCGATCTCATGACCTTGAGTTCATGACTGAGCCAAAACCAAGAGTTAGATGCTTAACTGAGTGTGCCACCCAGGCACCCCCATTCTTCTTATGTTTTTATTTTTATTTGTTTATTTATTTATTTTGAAAGATTTTATTTATTTATATGACAGACAGAGATCACAAGTAGGCAGTGAGAAAGGCAGAGAGGGAGGAAGGGAAGCAGTCTCCCTACTGGCCAGAGAGCCCAATGCGGGGCTCGATCCCAGGACCCTGGGATCATGACCTGAGCCGAAAGCAGAGGCTTTAACCCACTGAGCCACACAGGCCCCCCTCTTCTTATGTTTTTAAAGAAAAAAGTAATATTGTTATCCTTTTGTGGCCTAAATTGGGATTTCTTTGGCAACAAATAACATTTCTTAGTGTTAATGACCTTTTTTTCTGTTGTGGTGGTAAAATAATACATAATGTAAAATTTGCCATTTTAACCATTTTTAAGGGTACAGTTCAGTGGCATTAAGTACATTCCCATTGTTGTGCAACCATCACCACTGTCCATTTCTAGAACTCTCTTCACCCCAAAGTGAAACTCGGGATCCACTGAAAACACTAACCCCTCACTGCCCCCATCACCATTGTTTTTAAAGGAGATAGATAACTACATAAAGCTTAATTTTCTTTACGTGAATGAGCACATAATTGTTTTAGGGATGTGAGTGAAGGGGACATTTGCTAATATAACGGCAAATGCAGAACCTTCCGACAAAGGTATATAATTTGTAAAAAGAGCTGAGTGGGCAGAATCCTGATTTCCAGTTGCCCCAGGCACTTCAGGGCTCTCCTGATGATGATTTTCCTTGGGCATGTAGTTATCCTGATAGAAATCACATCTGTGCATAAAGAACGAGTTTAATTATACATAACTATAGACCTGAGATGAGCTGTTACCTTTTTGTACATATACTTTGTGATTTACAAAAGATGAGACACTAAATCCTGACTTATCTCAAAAAAAGTGGTACGTGTCACCCTCAGAGCCTTTGTGTCTTTGTAGGAGTTTTGCTGTTTCCCCAAAGAGGCCGTATGTGGCCTTACCCCCACTGTAGGGAATTGTCTTCTTTATGTGGGATCCCACAGTCTCCGATGGGCCCTGCTGTGGTCCTGAGGTCTGGTAGACGCACAAAGACTGATTCAGGGTTTTGGATGGGGTCGGTGGTGGAACATAACTAACCGGTCCTATTGAGAACGTCCTCAACTTGTCATTATTAAGCCTAATCATTTGGGCTCAAACTAATTGAAATAAAAAGCAACCAAAGTGATCTGAGTGCCCTAGGCACTGTACTAAAGGCTTTACACGTATTCTTCAATGGAATCCTCACAATCCTGTGAGCGAGGAATCAAACTCCCATTTTATAGATAGGAAGACTAAAGGAAGAGAAAGATGATGTGACTTGCCAAAGGTACACCATTAGTAAGTAACAGACTGAGGATTCACTCCTGGGCCATAACAGGCTTAACAGCAGGGTTCTCTCCTAAGAGAGCCCAGGTTTGACAGACAAACCAAAAACCCCACACTCCAGTTCCTGTGTGGCCCAGTGAGTAGGGGAGTCTCAGGTAAGGCCAGCCTGGAGGGAAATGGGAAATGGTTGGAGATAAAATGCAGGTAAAGGCTGCCCAGCCAGGGGAGGGACATGGGAAAGCAAGGGTCCCCTCTTCTGGCCCCATTTGTTACCTAGTTGGTGAGAGGAGATGGGAGGAAGGGACCTCTCTAAGCAGATTTCCAAAGGAGCTGGGTCATTCTTTGTGCTCTCTCCTGTTTCCTGCCCCTTTGCCAGGGTCTCGTAATTGCTGCATCCTTCTTAGAGCTGCTCTCCCTCGAGGGAACCACTTCCCCAGAGTTTGATTCTGATTTACTCTCTCCTCTGCACACCCGCACGAGAGGTCTCTTTTCCTGAGTGTGACTTGTTTCCGCTACTTGTTAGGAGAGTGTAGGCTTCAATGGTTGGGCTCTGCAGTGGGGTTGATGGTCTCCACTCCTCACAAATCCCTAATTCTCCCAAGAACATAGCCAAATCTGCATTTCTGGAAGAAGTTTTTTTTGTTTTTTTGTTTTTGTTTTGTTTTTTTAAGTTTTATTTATTTGACATACAGAGATCACAAGTAGAGAGAGAGGCAGACAGAGAGAGAGAGGGAAGCAGGCTCCCCGCTGAGCAGAGAGCCCGATGCGGGACTCGATCCCAGGACCCTGAGATCACGACCTGAGCCGAAGGCAGCGGCTTAACCCACTGAGCCACCCAGGCGCCCTGGAAGAAGTTTTGATGCAAATGACTCCCCCAGGGAGGGAGACCTTTCTGGACAGGGAGCAGTGTTGATGGATTCTGCCAGAAATTGAGGGGGCTCAGCTGTCTGTGTCCCAGGGATGGGTCCTGGTGATCCAGGAGCTTCCAGGAGTACCTCAGAGTAGCTCCTGGCCCACTCAGGCCCCGGTCTCATCCACGCTGTAGCAAGGGCCAGAAACACTCATCCATGTGCAACTTAAAAAGACAGATAACGCTTGCTGGGAATGTTCCTAACCCCAAAGGATGTTTGCTGATAGTTTTCATAAATTTCATGAGTTAAAGTCGTGTTCTGGGAACAAGTGCCTTATATCGTAGGTGGCGCCTTTGTGGATAATTTTGTGAACCTTGAGTGTTGTACCCTCCTCACAGTAAGAGGGAGCAGTCTGCACCAAATTATGCTGCAGGCCCCTGTCTGCCTCTGGTCATTAACCTGTCTGGTATTTCCTACAGAAGTTAGCTACGTTCACAACACTGCACCTGAACAACTCTATTTCAAATTAAATGAGAAAGATTTTCTGATGATTTCACACTGAAACATAGTCTTTATTTCAAAATGACGACAGAAGAGTTGGCACACCATGATAAGATGGCCCATTTAACAGCAGCGACAGCTTGCATTGGAGTCATAGGAAGGATTTGTTGGGGCATGTTTACAGTTATGTCATAGAAATTGAAAAACACAAGGCTGGGGTGGCTCGAGATACTCTTTCACTCCCCACCACACTCTTGTCTTCTCTCTCGCCCCTTTTCTATGTCACTGTTACAATGACAGTAGATACCCTCCTTAGCCCACAGTGGAAACACTGCTCCGTTTGGTCAAGTCACACCAAAGCTGCCGCCTAGATCACACCATGACCAGAAAAAGAGGTGTTTTCAAATTCTGGGCCACTGGAATTGGCTTCAGTTTTCTAGTCTTCATTTTCATTTTAATTACAGCCACTTGGAGCCAGTGACTACCTGGAACTGTCAAAGAATTTCGATACAGTATTCTTACGAAACATTCCCCAATTTACACTGGCCAAGAGGACGCAGGCTCGAAGATTCATCACTCTCATTGATAACTTCTATGATTTCAAGGTAAGGATGTAATGCATTTTTCTCAAGACTAAACAAGTCGGATGGCCTGGACTGGAATCCTGGTTTATTCTCTGTGCCTCAGTGCCCTCATCTACAAATTGGGGGGATAATAGTATTTCCTTCTGAGAATTGTTGAGGGCAAGATAAGCTAATCCATGAAAAGCACTCAGAACAACACTTGGCACAAGCCAAAGGCTGTATACATAATATCAGTGATAGCAGTAAAAGTAGTGGGATTGTCAGGCTTCCATCAGAAGACACTGCGATGTTAACGATGCCATCATAGACATAGAATGAAGAATGTGTACGCTTGGTGATGAACAACAGAATGCCTTACCTAGATCGAGTGCTCAGTCAGTTCACGAGTTGCATGAATAAATGACTGGACTGAAAAAATAATGAATGAACAAATGAATGAATGATGAGGGACCTTCCTCACTATTGGAGCTCTCTCTCCCTGTGACCCAGAAACCCTCGCAACTAGCCTTGCATCATCTTTTTGTTTGTTTAAGCCATGAGCCCGTGTCCATTCATCAGATGCAATATAGCCTACTGATTAAAGAATGGGCTTTAAGCTAGGCTGTCCGCCTTAAGGACCACCTTAATCTCTCGAGCCACAGTTGCCTTCTGTAGAAGAAGAGGGGAATAATAGTGCTTATTCCATATGGTTGTTGCGAGGATTAAATGACCATGTAAGGCACTTTCAGTGAAGGTGAGCCCCTATTAATAGTCTATATCTGTGGGGCACCTGGGTGGCTCAGTCAATTGAGGACCCAATTCTTGGTTTCAGTTCAGGTCATAATCTTGGGGTCAAGAGATCGAGCACCCTTGTCGGACACCACGCTCAACAGGGAGTCTGCTTGAGATCCTCCCTCTCCCTCTACCCCTCCCTGCCATGCTCACGCTCTCTCTCTCTCATAAATAAATAGATCTTTTAAAAAATGTATCTGTAGGGCGCCTGGGTGGCTTAGTTGTTAAGCTGAGGATTAACAACTTCAGCTCAGGTCATGATCCCAGGGTCCTGGGATTGAGACCCACATCCTGCTCCCTGCTCAGTGGGAAGCCTGCTTCTCCCTTTCCCACTCCTCCTGATTGTATTCCCTCTATCACTGTCTCCTTGGTGTCAAATAATAAACTCATATATTTATATACATATGTATATATATATCTATAAATACATATTTATAGTAAAAGCACAAGTATGACTTCAAAATAGAGTTAAATATCCATAGAGTTAAATATATTACTAGTAGAGACAATATTTCTCCTTATTGTACAGAAATAGATAGAGCAGTGATTCTAAAATTGAAGGGATTTTGAGGGGAGGAGGAAAGTACCAGAATCCACTGGGAGGAAGAGATAAAATTTTAATGTTTCTTTTATTCACTCATTCAACAACCTTTCTCATGCCAAGTACAGCGCTAAATATTAGAAGTTCAACAACAGGCAAAGCCAGATCTCGCACCTGCCTTCCTAGAACTTACATCTAGTGTCAGAGAAGCATTCATCAAATATCCACAGAACTAAATGTGAAGTCATCCCTGAGGTCTAGTCTCTTGGAAGGATCGAGAGAGGAGTGTGGTGCCGGGAGGTCTGGGGGAGAGTAGACTGATCTCTGGGGGGCTGGGGATGGACCTGGGGAAGTCCTGCTGAGGATGGCCTACATCAGAGTTCCCCGGGCTACTTAAGATCCATGTTCCAGAACCTACTCCACGCCCAGTCCAGTAAATGAACCCTGATCCTAGGGGATGAACCTGAAAACCTGCATGTTCGC